AGATTCACACCTTATACTTATAAGGTCCTTCAACGTTTTTCAACATCAATATTGTTAATTTAATGAATAGTATTCTCGAAAAGAGAGTCAAAACCATTTATAATGTCCATAAAAATTTTCATTAACTTTTTAAGTTATGCCATACATCTTCATACTAAAAAAGAAAGAAAGAAAAGGCGGAGAAAAGAATATTATTAATTGTAAATTTGTAATAATACTGTTATTTTCTTTGCAGATGGGACGAATTGGCTGATTGATTCTTATTATCATTTTATTTTTCTCTACTACAAGTTTGACCTCCCTTTGTTTTTAATTTCATGCCGTATATGACTATTTTATGAAGTCAATAATATATGTTAGTTTTTTAAGAACTAAGTTATATTGTATTTAATTTTCCAAGCCAATATTTCTTGAGAACTTTTACAAGAAATGAGCAAATTTGTTTAGATTTTATGAGATTTTCTCATACTTCTAATGATTTAGAGGATGGAAAGGAGCAGATTTAGAGTGGAGGAGTAGCTGGTTATAAAGAAGGTGTTGAAAAGTGAGAAAAGAAGAAAGAAATAGTTAATAAATATTTTTTTGTTATTCACCAAAATAGTGTAAAATGAATGGGCAGGCAAGGAAGAAAAAAAAAAAAAGAAAAAGAAAAAAGGTAAAAGCAACTAAAAAATAAAAATAAAAAATGTAAAAAAGATTCATGCAATTTATTTGCGTTGATTTAGGGCTGACGGATTTCTTTTCCTTATTTTGTTGAAGGAGACGTTGTTGATATGTTTTTTTTTAAGATTCTAAATAAAGAGAAAGTATAGAATATAACTTTTGAAAGGTGAAGAGTAGAAGATACTTAATATATTAATTGAATAAAGAAATAACTATGTTTCTTGAAATTCATCTCTTTCTTTCATGTTTACTTCAGCAAAAATAGAAAATAATGTTTCACATATATAGATTATTAGACAAACCTTTTCTGATAGATAAAAAAAATCCTCAAATGATGAAAATTAAGAGAAAAAAAGTAAGAATAAAATGTTTATAACTTAAAATCTAATCTATTTTTGAATTTGAAGATTACAAAAGATTTATATATTTTTCATTATTTGAACATTAGAAAAAAATATTCATAACCGCACGAAGCGCGGATTAATTGACTAGTGTAGGATAAACTACAATTTATTGTGGTATTATAATCCCTTATTAACCAAAAGACTTTCCCATCTCGGATAAAGATTAATTTAAGTTATAGTCCAAACTTAAGGGCCGAAAAAGAAGAATAAGAAACTTAAGGGACTAATTTGGTTGTCTCAAGTAATAAAAAAAGTACCGAAAACTATTTAAATACCCATTTCCCACCAAAGCTAAGTACATAACACCAAAATGGCAGGGGAAGCGAAAACGTTGGAGGAAGCTGAGAAGTTGAAGCTGAGTAAAGGAGAGGTAGTGGACGACGGACCTGAAGATGGAGAAATCATGGGGAAATCCGTAGATACGGCGTCGTATTTGGGAAAAGAAATCAAAGCTAAGCACCCATTAGAACATTCTTGGACTTTTTGGTTTGATAATCCTTTGGCTAAATCTAGACAAGCTATTTGGGGCAGCTCCCTTCGCGATGTTTACTCTTTTTCGACTGTTGAAAATTTTTGGGGGTATGTTTTTCATATTTCTCGTTGTTGTTTAGCCTTTCAGAGATTTATATGTCAGTCGAAAATATTAAGAACTTCTAGTGCTTTTTATTTCATTTCTATTATTATTATTATCATTATTTTTTAGTTTGTATAATATTGGCATAAGATGAGTTTCTAGCGCTTCGCGTTCTTTCTATTCCATTCCACTCTGGGATAGGCGTCTAATACTAAAATAATAAGTGAATTAGTCGTCGTCTGACCAATCTGCTCAGACACTAGACTGCCCTTGCCCTCCCATTTTGTCTCGCCCTAAATGGAGGTCCAATTCTTCCTGAAATTGCGCTTAGTCTCGCTATCTCTTTAGTTGTCTCCCCCTAAAAGTCAGTGCTTGGTGCAGACCGATGGACGTGGATAGTGAGGATTTATATAGCCAACCCCAACTTGTTTGGAACTACAGTTAACTTAGTTTTCATATTTTTCTAGTTAGTTGTGTTCTTTGGTTATAAATCATTGGAATTTAGGCCGCTCAGTTATTTACCAATTTTAATTTTGGTTTGTGCATCGAACTAAGTACATTTGACCTTCAAGGAATAGATATATGCTCTTTGGTATGGGAAGAGGGAGATAGATAAATTAATCTTATGTAGTCAATGAAATGGGAGGAGAGTTATGAGGTTCAGGTTTAAATCCCTGCAGATGCAAAAAACAATAAAATACTAGGTAATCTCTTTCTATTTGCCTATGCCTTGGCGGCAGGTTACTTGTGCAGGCATTAGTGAAATAGTCGAGGTTTAAACAAGCTGGCTCAAACGCCACTGTCATTTGCCAAAAATATCTTGTCTAAAGGAGGGAAAGTGTAAATGAATGGAAATTGAGAGTACAGAAGAAGTTAGCCTTGTTAAAATCTTACTTGCACCATCATGTGTAGGAATGACTTCAATTTTGTTATATCGTCGGATTTGTCCTTTTGCTTCAAATTTAAGAACCTTTTTCCTGTTTGTCAAATGCCCATAGTAGCAACTAAGGATATATTGCAAATACCATCTTGAGCTAATAAGGTAGTGGATAACGCTTTGGTCTTAGTTTCTCTCCTAAGTAGGATAATACAACTACTACAACAACAGCAGATCCAGTGAAATCCGACAAGTGAGGTCTGAGGAGGGTAGTGTATACATAGACCTTACCCCTGTTAGGTGTTTGCCATAATTTTCTTACCATATTTGGTTTTCCTATCTCTTGAAGGAAAAAGGCAATATAATTACCTTAATTGAGTTTTCCTTTTTGTAAAAAGAAATTATAAATCTCTAATATTTGGCTAGTCCTTTTTCTTGTAGGAAAAGGTTTGGATCTATAAATTGAGGATCCTTCCTTCTCATTCAGTAGCATCCACAATGTAGCCATAGGGGGCTTGAGAGTCTTGTTTAGGGGGAGAATTTTACGGGACAAGTGTTAGTGTGTCACTTGTGTTTGCCTCTTCGTGAGGTTGTTCTCTCGATATTTTGTACTCTCTTTTATTATAGTGGATTACTCATCTCCGTTGTGTACGTAGGTCAGTTGACCGAACTACGTTAAATGTTTGTGTCTCTTTTGGTAGATTTCTCTTTTGATGTATGACTTATCGTCGTTCAAGGTTTGCGTTGCTAGCTTCCGCATGACACCTGACTTTTTTTGGTCCTAACAACCCCTACCTTGTTAAGGTAGAGAGACTGTTTTCGATAGACATGCAATAACTATGTTTCACTACCCTCCTCATACCCCACTTGTGGGATTATACTGGGTTTGTTGTTGTTGTTGTTGGCGTCAACGACCAGGTTCATTATTTTCATGAAGTGAATGTAGTGCTGATATTATTTCATTTATAGATCATCTATTCCCATCTTGTGACGCCATTTAACAATAATGTCATAAGACAACACTAAATTTGTGTGTGAGAGAGGGAACATTTAGAATTAAAATCTTTTAATAAATATGTATCAACATTTGAAGATGCTAAGGGGAAAAAGCATCACGAAGGTGTATGTGTTCAGCAACAATTTAAATTCGAATAGCTCCCAAGGATATGGTTGAGTGGTAAGAGCCCAACGAGTGATGTGTGGGGTAGTCGCACATCACGTACTCGAACCCTGCCTCAGACAAAAGCCTAGTATTAATTGGTTAAATTCGATAGAAGTGTATCTAACACCTGGAGATTCCGCGTATATGTTTGGTGCATGTTTTTACTTGTTGGTTTTTGCTTGTGAAGTAGCAGGCACTTATACTGAAGTATTTGTTCTTCTCTGTCTACTGTGGTTGTTGGATTCTGTGTAATATTCTTGGCAAAATACATAGATGGCCCCCAAAACTTAGCATGAGTTTTTCATTTAGGCACCTTAACTTGGGATCATATCTATGAACACTTTATGTCGTCAGATATGCGCCAATTGAACACGAATTGCTGACATGGAATAACGCGTGCTCTTCACCTCTTACTTCATGCTTGTTCCATCTCCTGAAACTTATCGTTGCAGGTTAGCATTGGGAAGCAGTGGAAGGAGTTTCTAGATTACAGCGACTGGATTGGTTTCATATTTCATGTATGCCATCTTATGTATGGTATTCCTTGACAATCAGTTTCTCAAAATTTTGCAAGACTCATAAAGCATCATCTTCTTTTGCAGGACGACGCAAAGAGGCTCGATAGAGGTGCCAAGAGTCGTTATATAGTAGAGTTTTCTTGCTACAAATGGGGGAATGCAAGAAACAGAATCTGTACTGGTAAGTTTATGGCACTAGCTTTGTTTGTACAATCATATATCATTTGATAAGCTGCCAGTTTGAGTACCTCTTGTATTAGTGTTTGTACTTTTAATCAAAGAGATTTGTTTGGTTTTGAATTAATGCCTTCACAATTGCCATGTTCTGCAAAGCGGGATGCCTTGTGCACGAGACTGCTTCTGTTGTAATGAGTACAACACTTTGCTTTCTTCATGAATGAGAGAGAAATTAGATTAAAAGACACGGTTCTTTTTGCGAGATCCGGTATTGAAGAATGTGTCTTGCCAAGTTCTTTCGACATGATTCTCTCAAAGTGTCAAGTATTCTCGTTCAAATTTGTCCGTTCATAGTACGGTCAGTTCCGTGGGAGGGCAGGAGCCTCCTCCCTCGAGTATACTTGTTCAGATTTGTCAGTTTGGAGTACGGTCAGTTTATTGGGAGGGCACGAGCCCACACCGTCCCCCACCCCCCACCCCAACCCGAAGCATATGACAATTTTCAGAGAAAACCACAAAAAATGAACAAATAACTAAGAAATATGCTAAGAATTTCTTTATATTTGCTCAGTACTTTGGAATTTTTTCTTCAAACAATAGCTGCACTCAATGAATAAGTTGAACACATAACAAATCACACGACTTTGGTATACAAATCGCAAATGGGACATCAACTTATATCTGATTGTTACACAAAAGAATGAGAATAGAAAAGAAGCAATTTTTGGATGGCTTCTCGACGGGAAAAAAATAGCCAAGCGTGGTGTTTATACCAAACCTATGAATGTAAGACGTGTGTCTTCTGTATAAGTTTGGCATAAACACCGAATGCGAGTAAGTACTTACCACTTTCCGGTGTATTTTATCATGCATAGGACTCCAGGAGAGGTCTTGTTGGCTCCTCATTGGATATGCTATATCTCCAGTACAAGACCAGTTGTATGACCCCAAGAACTCCTCCTATTCCATTTGGGACCTGATTCATACACATCAAAATGTTATTCTAAACACATAAAATGACAACAATCAATGGTAAAGCAAGAACTCAAGGAGGGTACAGGGTAGGCCGGTGCACAAAGCATCCCGCATTCACACAGAGTACGGGGAACGGCCGCATCCTAAGAGGGTGTGATGTAGGCAGCTTACACTGATGCAAGCATCAGTGACTGATTTCACTACTCTAATCTGTGACCTATAGGCTACACGGAGACAACTAGACCGTTGCTCCAAGGCCCCCTTCAAGAGAAATAGCATGCTCTCCAATGTTTAAGTTATATACACTGCAATGTAATGAAATTTTTACATTGTCGGTATAACTTAACTCGTTATAACAGGTCATTTACCATTTATTCTAGGCTGCTAGTCAACGCGGTTAAAAATACTATTTACTTGCAATTATCTATACTATATTAAAAGTGGGAAGCCCTTAAGACAAAAGTTAAATTACCAAAGTATCCTTTAATTAACCTATAAATAGTTTTTTAAAATAAAAAATAAAAAATAAAAAAAACTAAAGCCTACAAGGAAACGCAACTTTCCATCAGGCGCCTATTCAGAAGAAACTTGTTTCTAAGTTTTAACACTTTAAATTCTTCACATGAATAGTCACAACTCTTAAAAGAAAATCTTTTTTGTTGTTGCTAAAAACTCTTAAAACAAAACCTAACACCTACAAACAACTCCTAATTACCCAATTAATCTCATCCGCATTACCCTCGAATCACATCTCTTGTATAAATTAATGGCTTAATCAACTATGAGCGAACCGCGAAAACACCAAGTTCTTCTATACGCATATACGTCCACATTCCACATAATCATCATCATTATTTTTATTATCTGTTATTTTCTTTTCTAAGTTAAATTGGAGTTATATCTGATTGTCGTTTGGGCAAAATTTGTCAAACGAATCATTTTTATGCGTGATTTCGGATGCAAGTTTAAGAATTTAGTTGACTTTGTTTGCCATTTTTACCATGCCTTCACTGTAAGATGCAAGTGCGATAAATATTTCGAGGGATATGCTTTTGGAAAAAGGTTTCGCAAAAGAGAGCGTTATGGAATAATTCTCGGAGAGCCACTGCTGCCGCGCGCTTAATTTTGGTCCGTTATTTGCTTTTTTTTGTTATTCCAGCATATAAGAGATATAGTTGGTAGTCATGTTTATTAGCTTAATAATATTAGTTATGATCTATACAATGCTTGGTTATGTGATATGACTTCATTTGAGATATTTTATATTGAATGTCTCATTTTGGTAGAAATTTTTTTACTTGTAAAGTGATAACGATATATTTAAAACTTGGAGATGATCGTAAAGTGATTTTTTTTAATTTAGCGTTTGTTTGAGTTGTACTCTCGGAATTTTTATATCTTTTATCGTAAAGTTCATGCTTTTAAAATGCAAATTCAATTGATTTGTCGTTTTTTATTTTCTCCTCTTCTTTTTCATGGTTGGGTTTTCACCTAATTAAGTATAAGTAGTAGTAATTCTTTTTATATTTTCTAACTTTTTATTTTCACTTTGCAAGACATTTTGGTAATTCTCTCTCTCTCTCTTGAACTTGTATATGAAAAGATAGGGTTATGTTGAATGATTTCTCAAACTTGGTTGTGAAATGTGTTGTCTATAGTTAAATACATATGTTATTGCAAACTGAATAAAAAGTAGAGAAGAAGAAGGTGGGTTTTCCTCAAAGTCCGGGTACTTATTGTTGAAAAAATATAAAATCGGACATAGTAAGAGGCATAATTCCTCCAAATTAGTATTGATAATCCTATTATGAATTTGAATTTATGTGCAGATTCTCCATATAATATTAGCATATTACATATATTTACCAAAATTATTTCAAACTAATATATATGCGGTTCAAAAATAAAGCCAAGTAAGACTGGATGGACAAAAAATATTGGAAAAATTACTATTAGGTAGAATATTTATGTTTTAGTGTGAGTACATGGGTGATGGATCGTTGACATTTGACTATTTCTTCCGTAGTTATATTTCTACATATATTTTCATGTGAAATAAGACTATAAGATTACTCTAATGAAGTCCAGAAAAGATTCATAGTAAAATCTTTTGTAACATAAATAGCTTGAGAATATGGATCTACGACGAAAGATGTTGCCATATGACTTATAACTCTGCTATTATTTGTTTCTTGCTCTTGCAGACAAAATTCTATATATATTTGAGAAAGATGAAATTGCATATCTATTTACCAACAGTTCTGTTAGTCCCCACTCTACTGCTTTTAATTAGTTTGTTTCACTTTTCAAGTTACATATGCACCATACACTTCTTAGGAATAGTAGTAATATATTTTTACTATAACAGAATCATTTTAGGAAAGTAGGACAAAGCAACATGTGTCAATTCGTCCTAAGCTTTCCTCTATCTAATTCTCCTTTAAATTTATTTTCACATCTTATAAATATTTTTTTTGTCAAAGTTATATTGCCTTTATCTAAGTCCTATTTAGTTAAATAGGGAGAGGAGGAGAGCTCTTTTTTCTTTAATTTTATCATACTTGATTATCTAATTTTCATTCGGTGGATAAAAAATGATTCATTTTGTAGATTTGAGCTCTTAATACTTATTGATGAATAAATGTAATAATTATTCGTAGGTTTATATTATGAAGCTTAATTTTGTGCATGACATGTACATTCACATAAAAATGCAGAGACTTGAATATTCCCGTAAAAAAAAAACAATTAACTTTGAGAAGATAATTATGCTAAAGCACAATTGGTTATGTTATGGATGAAAGATATAGGGAAAAAAGTCGATCAAGGAGTGTTGCTTTTTACGTCGTCTATTGAAGCAATCAAACTCATAAAAAAGATATACCAATACTTAATTGGTAACGTTATGGCTAGAAAAATCAAGTTAGAGTTGGTATGAGAGTGTGCTTTTTTACTGTATTCATAAAAAGGTCTTAAGGTTACACTAGCTTTTGGCATATTTAATATGTAATCTTTGATAAAATCCAATATTTTTCAATTATGTAAGTATTAATTAATTTTAGTATATATTTTGTAAAAATATGATATAAAATACACGTGCATCGCACGTGCAGAGAAGGTAGACTTTTAAATGAGCGGATCGTGTAAATTTCTTTATACAGTCATCTTTTAGGACTTAAACACAATTATTAAAAGGGAAACAGAAATTCTTTATACTCAACACTCCTTGTTCTGATCACCAAATTCTGCAAAAGAATATCTTATATTAGTCTCATCAACTAACATCAATAAAATATGTCTTAATTAGGCCATTGCTCTGGTTGATCAACTTACAATAATGAACATGTAATGCTATAAGCATCGTCTTGTGTTAGCAAGTTGACAACAATAAAGGGAGTTAAATTATTAAGTAAACATAAGCTATGTTGCTCGTACTCTCCAAAAATGTTGTAGTACCCGTGTCAAATCCTTCAAAAATATACTACTTTTGGAGGATCCAACGCTCATCCGACGACATTTTAAGAGTCTTAGCAACATAGAACCAAAGTGTGTTTTTTAAACAACATAAATTTTTAGATGGAGATAGTCACACAATTCGAGAAGGTATGAGAGCAAACGAAGTTCATCTAAAAGAATGTAGTTATGCTTGCACGTAAAGGGGCATATTAAAGACATACTTAAGTAAATAAAAGTGTGTTCTCTAACGGCTTAAATTTTTAGATGAGAAAGTCATACAATTCATTGGGAGGTAAAAAATCTGACCTTTTTTTCCCGCTCTGCAAATATGAAGAAGATGGTTATATAAACCAACTGGAATACTGCTCCAACTGAATTGACAGTGAAAACCAGTATAATACCAGGAGATACTATTGGCGTTCCATACCAGAGACATATTAAGCTAGCGTTTGGCCATAGATCCCAAATTTGTTTTGAAAAATCTTATTTGGGTGAAGTTTGGTTTGAAGATGAAAATGTGTTTGGACATACGTTTTCAAAACATATTTTCCAACTTTATTTTGGAAAAACATATATATAATTCCCAAGTTTTGGGATTTTGGCCCAAAATCAGCTCAATAGCTGATTTTGGGATTTGAAATTTGGGATTTGGCCAAAATATGGGCAAAATTTATGGCCAAACATGAGTTTTGAAAATAAATTCCAAATTTATTTTGGCAAAACTCATGGCCAAACGGGCCTTAAGCAATTCAAGAGCGCATAAATATAAGGCAGCCCAGAAAACTGTTCTGTTGACTTGCTTCCGATGATCCTTCTGAATGTTGGTCTGAAAGAAAGGGAGCGGAAAACATCAGTTTAAATGCGCGAGCGCGCACGCACACACACACTCACACTGTGTCACACGTATATATATGTTATCGACATATTAATGTACAGTTCTTTTTTAAAGATTTAGATACTTACATTGGTGACACAAATAAAACAAATGCAAAAAGGTTCCCTGCAATATGCCAAAGCCAAACATTTGGTCACTAGCAAGATTGGAAGGCAAAATTGAAGAAGTATTGATATCTAAAAGCAAAAACAAAATAAGCTTATACATCAATTCTTCTTATCTTTTCCTCTTATTAATAACGAATTTAAGTTATACAGACTAACTATGTGCAAATAAACAAAATTCTCTATTAGTTTACAAACAGAGAACTTCTCATATGTATATGTTGCAATTAAGAGAGTGGTGGAATGAATGAGATTATTCTCCAGTACCCGTGACGATCAAAGATCACGGGTTCGAGTCCTGTGAACAGAGAAAACCTTATAGTACTTCCCCTCGGGGGCGAAATTATGTGTCGCCAAGGGTGGTCAACTGAACAAGAAAAATTATGTTTAAGGGTAAAATATTATGACTGACAAAAAATAGGCTTTGAACACCCTTGCATAGCCTAGTGACAAAAGGTGTTCAAAATTTGAACACGCTTATTGAATTTCTGGACTTCGTCACGACTTCACCTTAAGTGGACCTTCCACAATGTGAATTCAAATTAATCTAGCTAGTGATTTCGAATACAAGATGCAAGAAGAAAAATATGTATATTCCAATGGAAAAAAAGCCAACACAAGAAGCAGCAAGTTAAGATTCTTGAGACTTTAATTTAATGTACAGCCAAATATTGTTTCCCAGCAAAGTTTCTTGGAATATAACTAGTTCTGCAATACAATATACCCAGAGGTCTCGGGTTCGAGCCTTCATTTGTTTGTTTCACATGCCGGGTCACAAAGCTTCCGCTATACTCGGGCCTTGGGAACCGTCGGATGACAAGGTCTATTGTACGCAGCCTTACTCTACATTTCTGCCAGAGGCTGTTTCCACGGCTTGAACCCGTGACCTCCTGGTCACATGACAATAACTTTACCAGTTACGCCAAGGCTCCCCTTTAAAAGGTCAGCTACCCGTGACCTCCCAACAGAGGCGGAGCTAGCCTTGCCGAACCCAGTAGCTTTTGTATAAACCATGTGTTTGTCTTAAGAAATCCATTGAATATGTATAAATTATTAAATTAGAACCCAGTGACTTAAGAAGACTAAATTCCCGAACTCATAAACTTCAAATCCTGGCTCCGCCTCCCAAGGGTTTGAGCCTTCGGAATGAAGAAATTCCTGATACAATTATGCTTTCCCATAAATGAACTTATGCAACGCGAATCTGAATTAATCGGGCCAATAATTCCGATCACTAAAGAAAGCCAGATAGAATAAAAGAAAAGGCTGGTACCTGCAATCCCAGCTGCATTACTGCAAATTGAATAAGTTGAGAACAAACCATTTGCTGCAGATATTGACATTTCCGTTTTTCTCAATCAGTTCAAAATTCACATATCACATAACCAAACTTATATATACTATTTTTCCTTCTCTGTTGGATAAGCGTGGAAGCTTGAATATATNTATATATATATATATATATATATATATATATATATATATATATATATATATATATATATATATATATATATATATATATGTGGACAGCTCAGAGTGGAAATAGTTTATATGGAAGTACAACCAAATTATGTAAATCAACAGTTGTCAACCATTAGTGGGACCCATCATATTATTTACATTCTTTTTATATGACATTTCTTTGTTTACAAGAATAAATAATTAAAGTTAGAACGAAACATTTACAATTTAAAAATTTCCAAATATAAATATGTGTCTTTTTTTAAAAAAAAAAAAAACTAAATAGCTTGTTTATCCAAGCTTTCAAAAAACAAACTAAATTGCTTTTTGTCAAGTACTTTGCGAAAAAGTTACTTTTGGAGTGTAACAATTTGAATTTGGCCAAAGTTTTAAAAGTGCTTATGAAAAAAAAAAGGAATTATCTTTTTAGATTATGAGAAAATAGCTTCTGCTACTTTTTTTCCGGAAAATTTGACCAAACACTTTAATTCTATAAAATAAGCCTTTTTTAAAAAGAAATTAGTAGCACTTTTGATTTCCCATTAAATTGGCCAAACATGTTATAACAAAGGAAAAAGAAAAATGGTAAGGGCTGATAAATTAAATTCCTTCACATAAATTAAAACCGAGGGAAAATAATTTTAGGACATCTCAGAGCGGACACTGGATGTGGTTTAAGGGGCGAAGTTAAGTGTTGGTAAGATAGTTAATTGAATTTCTTCCGCCGGAAAATTATATTGTAAATAGGATTAATTTTCTTTGGTTGACTAATTTAAAAATCAAATCGTGAGCTTGATATTTAAGGTAAAAAATATTACTCGAGTTAAGCTTTTTTTGTTAAAAACATTAATGTCTATCCCCATGTGCTTGACATCCAAATCTTTATATAATCTTAGTGGTCTCATATGATTATATCCTTTTAATTATATATTATTCTTTTCAGAGTTAAGAAATTTGGATGAAAGAAATTAGGCGTGGAGATCACGTCAAACTCATAATGGTTGAGATCAAATTTATCCTTACCCCTAAAAACTTAAAAGGCTAAATCTATTATATTCTTGATCTTAATTTATGCAGGGGAGTTTGTTTGGACACAAGATTTTAAGAATTTTTTTTTTTTAAACTTGTGATCTTAAACATACCATGCGAATTTTTATGTCTATAAAACATGTCATTAAGTATAAAAATAAATAAAAATTAAAATTAAATTATTTCGAGACAT